AGCTTGCCACAGCAGGGCCATCTTGAATATATTCGTCTGCATAACAGTTTTTGGAGCCCTTATCACGCCCTATTTGGGCCGTTTTTGAAAGGGAGGCATTTAGTTAACAGCAAAGTGAAATTAATTTTGTCATCCATAATCATATAATTAATGTATAATAATTTGTTGTGCCCAAATTAGTCATCGGCTTTGAAAATCAACCAGGAAAGTTTTCTACTGTGTAGTAGCAACGCCATCAATTCCACTTAGATAGAGTGCTGAACTTACTTGCACTCATATCCCTCTTCTTTGTCAGTACAGTCAGCAAATCGTGAGCAATTGTTCAAATGGGGCATGAGACACTCGTTGACAAGCTAAAATTCGGAGCAATCAGACTCGAGATAAAATCACGCGCTGAGTTCCGTAAGGAGTTTGATGGGTCCAAAGAGCGTTCATGGCTTGTTACGGGACGCTTTCGTTGAGTCATCAGGAAACACAGGAACAAATCGAGACTACTTATGTCTACTGTGAACTATGAAATTTGAAAGAAAACTCCGTCTTTTCTGGTTCTGTTGGCATTGCCAAGGCAAAAAAGGTCCTCTCGAAATCATTTTTTCCAATCGCCTCATTATTTTGATGACCCGGTAGTCACAACGTAACCCGATAACCTTCTAAATAAAGATGATAACTCGCCCCGAAGCAATTTCGACCGGGTTTCGATGGATCTTTCGAGATGTCACGACTTCCGATAGGGCATTCGCATTCATAGGAATCCGGAGTGTCACGGCATGTCGCTGCCGGATCACAGTCATTCAATGATGAATCCAAGCATTCGTTGACCAATTCGCGACATTCACGACCTGAAAATGCCTTTTCAAATGGGAGGTCGCTTTTTTCCGCCGCAAAACAATCACATTGGCAATGACTGAAATAGAGAGAGCCCACTGTAATGACGACTGATAATAAGGCGTCGAAGTAAAAGTTTCTATTTTGATGGGTCAGTTATACCACGATCGAAGCCTGTCAGTACTCTGCGACCGAATTAGGCTAAAATTTTTTTTATTGGGTGAAACGACTTCCTCATGTCTATCGATGATATTGGAATAAAAGCCTGAGAAGGTTAGGAACACAGGAACTCCCTACCTAAGTAGGGGTTACTCGAAAACTCAATCCCCGACTATGTAATCACAATCAAATCTCTTGCTGACCACCTTTTGGCCTCCTACTTCTAACTTTTTAATGGTTTGTTTAATATTTTCATTACGGATTCGGACAATATTTAGTATTCCCGCATTTTCAGTTTAGTCGTTGTTGGACCTCCTTCCACAACGTGGGAATAAGAAGAAACTGTGGAATAAGGAGAAACTTGAATTTTGTTCGATTGAAAGCCTATTGATCTTCAGAATAATCAAAATACAGAGCCTCTACAAACGAAATAAAGACCTGGCTTATTCTTGTTGGCATCCACATATCCATCCCGACATTTGCAAGTGTATTTCTCAGGTCCGTCCACTTCTTGGCAAACGGCTGCCGCATGACAGTCATGTTTCGTGTCGTCCAGGCATACTCGTTCCAAGCATTTTCGGCCTAAACAGGTCATATGGGTGATTACTCACATTGAAATATTTGACTGTTAAGAGACGATTCCAGGAGCAAAGGTATATTTTCTAGGCTCATTATTTAACTAAAAAGGATCTAGTGTAGTGAAAATGAAAAACCTGGGCGATGAGGCAGAGGGCTGCGGTCGAGGAATCCAGGCTTACAAACACATTCGTAATCATTGGTACCCCGCTCGATGCATTGGGCATTCTTGTCACAGTCATGTCGCCCAGACTCGCAAAGTTGATTGGCTAGAAAGAAACTCAGGTAACATAGACAATTGTGGACAGTATCATGAAAGTGCTATAATGAGCCCTTCAAATTTGCGCAACC